TTCTGTGCTTTTTGAATGCTGAGAGGAAAAGTGAACTGAGTGGACTGTGTTACATAGCAACCGCACTATCCTCAACAACAGGGTTCAAAGAAATTTGTGTTCCAACCACTGAAGGCTGCATTCCTACAAAGCAACATAGAGGGGGACAATGACCATATTGAGCCCACGCTGACAGCCACACGGCAGCATGTCATTAGGTGTCTCAATGAGCTGATTTAGCTCATATTGACCACAGACAGCTCATAGTCCCATACAGAACAACAGACTCACATTTTATGATGTAATGGTACAATGAATCCATATGCTTATTGTGACAAGTGCTGCATTCAGTGCAGCTTAACCTAACACAATGATTTGTTAAGCTGTGTGTACATGCAAGCTTGCTGCAGTATGGTTGAAGAGCTACACTCCTTTTGGTGGTAGAGATGGGTGTTTTAATCATTGTTTAATGAATATGATCTTGGGATGGCATTAATCTGGCCTCCAGCTCTAATATTAAAAATCTTGGTGTTATTTTTGATCAGGATATGTCTTTTATCCCCCACATTAAAAACGTTACTAGAACTGCCTTCTTCCACCTGCATAATATCACTAAAATTAGAAACATCTTATCTAAAAATGATGCAGAAAAACTGGTTCATGCATTTGTCATGTCTAGACTGGACTATTGCAATGGTTTATTATCTGGGTGTCCAAATACTTCTTTAAAACATCTTCAGTTGATCCAAAATGCTGCTGCCAGAGTCTTAACTGGAGTTAATAGGAGAGATCATATTTCTCCAGTTTTATCTTCTCTCCACTGGCTCCCTGTCAAATCCAGAATTAAATTCAAAATCTTACTTCTAACCTACAAAGCTCTCAACAACCTAGCTTAATCTTGTATTACAGATCTTATTGTTCCATATTGTCCTAACAGAGCACTTCGCTCTCAGACTGCAGGCTTATTCACAGTTCCTAGAGTTTCCAAAAGCAAAATGGGAGGCAGATCTTTCAGTTATCAGGCTCCTTTCTTGTGGAACCAACTTCCAGTTTCTGCCTGTGAGGCTGACACATTATCCAGTTTTAAGACTGGACTTAAGACTTTCCTTTTTGATAAATCCTATAGTTAGGGTCGGCTTGTTAGGCTGCCTTAAGCTTAGACTACTGGACGACAAATTGACCTCATTTCTTTGAATGAACTGTTAAAATTGAATAGTTTTCATTTGATACTATTTCTATCTTAACGTGATTCTGGACCTGCCATTGTGTATCTGTTCCTACCAAACACAGCTGGTTGAAGCAGATGTCCACTTGTCCTGAGCCTGGTTCTGCTAAAGTTTCTTCCTCATGAGGGAGTTTTTCCTTTCCACTGTCGTCTTCATGCTCGCTCAAGATGAGAGTTCTGTGATGGAGTTAAATTCAAAGCAGTCTGCTCCTCAGATAAATAACTGACGTTTTATATATGTGAATGTTTCTGTTCAGTGCCCTGAGATGATTTCCATTGGAAATTGGACAGTAGTTTTTCTGTTCCTTGTACTATACACTACATTTTCCACTGCTTTCTACAGGTTCCATGCCACAATATGAGTCAATAAAATAAAGTTTTACTGTCTAAATGTGCATTTTTACTGTAACTAGAATATTTCTGAAGATATTTTGGAGGATGCCAATGTAGCTACTGCACCAAATTTCAAAACCAACTTTGTAATATTTTAAGTAAGGAAAAAAAAAACTATTTTTATGTAGAAACTGTACAAGAAGTTTAAATAGAACAGTGATAAAAAATAATAATAATAATTTAAAAAGCTGCTTCCAGATACTCATTAGGGTCATTCTTTTAAAGACACACCTGTGTCTTGCCTTGCTGAAAGCAAACGTGAGATACAGACAGAAACAGAAGTTTCTTTGGTTAAACCCAAAGTGGTATATTAAAAAATTACCGAGTGGCAGAAGACTGACAGTCACAGCCAAAATTTATGTTTGTACAGGGTTTTGTGTAAGAGATATGGAAAGTACAATATCTGTTACTTCCAGCTTTGTAGAGAATATTATGATCTAAAAAAAAGAAAGAACAAAGGCCATAAAATCTTTGCTGTGTGCACTCTCTGTACTCTGAGCAGAGTTGTGGCAAAACAATGTCCAAGAGACACACTGGGTAAAATAAGATGGATATTTATGTTTTGATGTATAATTTGTCCATAAAAAGTTGTGGATTAATAGCATTTACAAACAATTAGAAACTTTTTGAAATTTTAAAAGGCAGAGTGTGACATCATCAAATGCTAGTTGAAAATTCCATGGAAAAGTTTATAAAAAGCATCAAATTTAAATCGTTACATTTTTCACCCTTTAAGATCCAAATTTCTATGATCTATTTAAACTTCGAATAACTCTTCTGTTGTGACGTATGTCTGAGCTGTAGTGCTCCAAACAGGTCTTGGTTTCACTTTCACTTGGTTTTCACTTGGTTTCACTTTCACTTGTTTTACTGAATTCCCCTCTGTTGGTGAAAAAGAAAAAAAATGACAAAGTTTTGTTTACATCATATAATGTACTGCTAGCAAATGTCATAGAACACTGTTCTCACACAAACTACAAATAATTTATATTCTGATGCATGATTTCTTCAAAGCTATGAATTGTAAATAAGGATAAAAATCATGACAATACAATAGGGTGATTCAGTGCTCGTGCATCGTCACCCTCAATAACTGGGGACTGCATATGCAGACATCTATTATTATTCACCTCGGAAACAGGTTTCTTAAATTTATTCATTTATATCTTATACACTTCCGTCTTTAATGCGGCCCAAAACGAATTATGTACCCCCACAAATGTTATACCAAAACAACCGGTTCAGCCCCGTAATGTGTGCCATTACTTTTAATTTGTGTTTCGAGTTACCATGGCAACATACTTTGCTAACAAATAGGCCATTTTTCCTTTTATTTTTATTTATTTATTTATTTTTTGATGGCCTCCCTTCTCCCCATCCTCTCCACACCATTATTATGAAATATTTATTATAGTGACTATCTAGTGTAGGTTTTTTTTTTTTTTTTTTTTTTTTTTTTTTTTTTTTATAAAAACGCCTCAGAACACCTCTCACACTAACTGATGCTGTGAGGTGTAGTGGACTAGGCCTCCGACCAAAACCTGCCTCTGAAGACCTTCATGGGACAGGAACTGTTATTTCATTGATTTGAATCCAGAAATACAAATTAGCTCATCCAGCAACTGTCTAATTGTATCCTGAACTAATCAATTGAAAGAACACTCTCTTTTTATATTATCATTACTATTTTACAATATCTTGATAATCAGAAGTGTGTTTAGTTCATACCATTTTTAAATGTTGAAGTGAACCACTCATTTTAAATCAACTGTGAAACAGTATGAATGATTTTTTAATCCTCATTTAAATTAGAAATCAAGTTAAATGTCTATTTTACAAAGTAATTATGCATTTTTGATCTTCTGTCTGAAATGAGAAAGAGTGATGTCGGTCAAAAGTCGGAGACAGTCAAAAACAAGTTGTTAGAACGGGCTGTCGTGTTTTTAAAACTCTCAGACAGTAAATAAGAAAACTGGCACCTGCAGTGTTTCTCACTTCGCCAAAACATTTCTCTGTCTGTTCCTAAAGCATTCTTGCTGTTTTCTTGACTTGTAAAAACCCTTTGACATCACTAGAACCACACCCCGTTCTTAACCCGTTATTTAAAATATGACTGTAGTGAAGCTACGAAGCTAACCTAGCCCCATAGAACACTACAGAGGTCACATGACCTGAGTGTAGAGACCCCTGAAGAAAACAGAAAGTCATAGTTGAATTTGTTTGAAACTCACAGAGAGTAATAATCAGATGTATTTCTAGAACTGATTAACATTTGGAGCCATTTTGATTCAAGATGGCTGCCACAGCTACCTCAGCAAACACAAAATTGACTATAACTCGGTCATTCTTTGACATATTGAGCTGAAATTTTGTATGGTTGTAGCTGACAGCGACTTGTTACATATTCCTAATGCAAATCAAATATCCAAGATGACCGCCTTAGCTAAAAGAGAAAAAAATATGATAACTCTGCCATTTTTAGAGATATTCATCTGAAATTTGGCATATTGGTAGCTGAGAATGATTCCAAATAGACCATGACTGAAAATCAAAAATCCAAGATGGCTGCCTGAGCAAAAAAGGAAAAAATACTATAAATTGGCTAATTTTAGTGATAATGAGCTGAAACTTGGTGTGATGATAGCTGAGAATGTTTCCCCATCACGTGCTGCATTAAAATAAAAAATTCAAGATGGCCACCAATGCTACTTTAAATGGCTTTAACTCAGCTATCTTTACACATATAACGCTGAAATTTGGTGAGGTTATGGCTGAGAATGTTCCCTGTTACTTACTGAATCCTAATCAAAAATCCATCTCTGATCTGGTTCTGTTCAAAGCCAAACTGAAACCTATTTATTTAAAAAGGCTTTTAATGTTTAACTTTTAGTATTTTAGTATTTAGCTTTTATTTTTACCTTCTTTAATTCTGGCTGGGTTTTAATTTGCACTGATTTATTGGGTCCTGTTTTTATTTTGTTTTATGTTGTAAAGCACCTTGGTCAATGCAAGGCATTGTTGGAAGGTGCAATACTATAGAAATAAAGTTTATTATTATTATTAATATTGTTAAAAATCTAAGATGGCTGCCTTAGCTAAAAAGAAAAAATATATAACTCAGCCATTTTTTGAGCTATTCAGCTGAAATTTGGTATAGGGGTAGCTGAGAGCAAACCCCAACATAAAGTACTGTAAAATCAAATATTTAAATCAGCAGTAGCCTGCCATTCCCCGTCAAAGTTTCTCCAGGAACTTTCTAGTGTATTAGTGATAATGGAGAAACCTCCATTCTGTTAAAGCACAAACATTTAAAATAGACCTTATTCTTTTCTTTTTTGCACACACATATTGCAGTTTCATTACCCTGGCTGTGCTGACATGAACTCTTTGTGTTTATCTGCAGGTGGTGACTAACAGAGATACACTGGAGACCCTGCTGTGCATAGCCTACGTCTTTGAGGTGTCTACTAGTGAGCATGGTGCGCAGCATCATATTTACAGGCTGGTCAAAGACTGACACAGTTCTACAGTTGGAACCTGTCACCTGTAGACCCCCTTTGTAGCACACGAGTAAGCAACAACGCCAAACAAAAGACTAGACTACTGGCTGGCACGAGCTGAAAGCTAGACTCTGTCAAGTCCGTTAGAAAACCAGAGAAACACTGGCTGCATCAGTGCATGCAGGAACATTACTACTGCTGAGGAAGACGAAGTGCATTGGGAACTTTGGAAGATGAAACGATGTGAAAAGTGACAAAAAGTGGAATAAAACAGGAGGAGGACCATGAGCTCTCTATACCAAAGGAGCCAAACAAAATGTGCATGAGAGAGTTGTCATGGTGGTATTTTTCATCTTGTTTTACCGAAGCTTGTTTGTGATTTAATTATTTTATATGTGCATGCAGGGCTGTTTGCAACAGGAACAGTTGGTGGCCTCAAGGTGCCATCTATTGACTTAAATAAATATTACAGTGAGACAAACATAAGAAAAATACCTCTTTTGCACATTCATTGAAAATCACGGTGTCCATGTGCCATTGTTTTGTGTTTCTACAGCCTTTAAAAGATTATGTACATGGCCACATCCCTCTCCTCTGTCACAGGTCTGACAAGTGACTGAACTCTGGTTGCAGTTTATTGTTTAATGTTCCTGTATACTTACCTTTGATTGGCAACTCTCTCACTATAACGTAAGGCACATATTAAAACTGCTAACTTGAACTGGATGGAGCTCTGCAAGCTGACTGTGTTTGTAAGCTGCACTGTCAGATGAAAATACAAGTTTCTACAAATTTCTCTGTTGATGGTTTTTGTCTGAACCTAATAACATACAGAGATGGATACATCTGTTAGTGCTCTTTCACAATAGTAATAATAATAATAATAATAAATGGCAGCATGGTGGCGCAGTTGGTAGAGCTGCCGCCTCTCAGTGAGAACGTTACAGGAGCAGATCTCTTCTGGAGCCTTTCTGGGTGGAGTTTGCATGTTCTTTCCGTGCTGCGTGGATTTTCTCCAGGTATTCCAATTTCCTCCCACAGACTAAAAACATGCATGTTAGACTGATTGGTAACTCTAAATTGTCCCTAGGTGTGAGTTAAAACTCAGATGTTCTGAATTTCCAAAAGCAGGATGGGAGGCAGAGCCTTCAGTTATCAGTTCAATTCAATTCAGTTTATTTATATAATGCCAATTCACAATTGCACTGGGGGTTCGAATCCACTAGCAGTCACATGCTGAAGTGTCCCTGGGCAAGACACTGAACCCCTCATAGCCTCTGATATGTGTCTCATCAGTGTATGAATGTGATCTAAAGCACTGATTAGTCTCATTAGAATGATTTGTTCAATTAGCTTTGTAGAGATCTACGTAGTAGAGTGCTGTATGAATGGGTAAATGAGGACACAGATTGTAGTGTAAAGCGCTTTGAGTATCTTGAAATAAGATAGGTGCTATACAATTACAGTCCATTTACCATATAAATTTATATGACGTAGATGTTCTATCTGAATACCGTTCTAAAATTGGATGATATACAATTTGCATCACACACATGAAACACATGAAATGTGTGCATCTCTGTCATGTTGGGTCATTTTGACGTGACAATCTGACCATCATGTAACATTTTTCTCCTGGAATTTTTAAGTAATTCAAAATTCAGTTTGTGTCACGGTTGTGTTTTTGGATTCAAAATAATCAGACGTAGGAGTGCAAAAACAAGAACAATTTTTATTATTGGCTGTGGGTGAGAAGTCAGGATCAGCTGTGTTAACAGGTCCTCACAGGTTGTAGGGAGAGAGTCACCTGTCAGCAATGATGTCACTGGCAGAGCAGCCGCAGTTATGTGGTTTGTGGGGTGGCAAGTCCAACATCAGTGTCCATATAACAACGCAGGGGTCATACACGGGGAAACAGAGCAGTAACCAGAGCCAAGTCGTAATCCATAATCGTCGTGAAGGGAAAGCAGAGTCGTTTACTGTGGTCAGAGCAGATAGTCCAAATCCAAAGAGGAGCAGGCAAAACAAGGAATCTGTGGTACAGGCGAAGGGTCAAGGCAAGGATGCAAGGCATGAAACAAGATACTATGACAAAAAGGCTTCAGAATCAGGGACCATGGAAGGTGTAATAATTCAGCCTGGTGGAGAGGGAGAATGGAGTTTATAAAGGGTGCAGAGCAGGTGAACTAGATGAGCTGAACAGGTGAGTGTAATCAGGGCTGATGAGCTGAAAGTGCAGAGGGGTGTGTGGCTAATGACAGAAGAAAAACAGCATGATGACAAAGAGGAGCAGAAACATGACATGATGGGGCTGTGAGTGTGAGACGGGCTGATGGGGGTCAGCAGGGGCCGCTGATCATGACAGTTTGATTTGCATCCAAACTTTTTGCAGACTATGAAAAAATAACTTTTTCTTTCAATCAACCGAACATTGATTATTAGACTAGATTTGTTCAACGTCAATGAACACTTCCATCTAGTGGTATATATATGAAATTACAGTTTTTTCCTCTACAGGTCCTTCTCAAAAAATTAGCATATCGTGATAAAGGTCATTATTTTCCATAATGTAATGTTAAAAATGAAATCTAAAAAAGTTAAATCTGGTCCTCTGGACATTAAAAAAAAAAAAAAAACAAAAAAAAAAAAAAAACAAACAAAAAAACAAAACAGTGTTTGTGTTTGTTGTTTTGCTTTGTTTTGGTTTTTTTTTTTTGAATGTCCAGAGGACCAGATTTAACTTTTTTAGATTTTTCTACCTGGATTATTGAGCATGCATCAGGATGTTAAAAATGAAACTTTCATATATTTCAGATTCATTGCGCACCAACGGAAATATTTCAGGTCTTTAATTGTTTTAATACTGATGATTATGGCATACAGCTCATGAAA